TAGAGGAAGGGCCAAACCCTGGGATGGTCCAGTTGCCTAGGGAGGACCAGGTCCGGAGAGAAATTCCCTCTCTAGATCCTTACTGGATTGGCCCGAACGAGCTAGTGTTGGTCCAGTCCGGACCAAGGCTGTTCGGTGCCATTTTAATGACCATTGAATATCGACGGCTAACGTTGAATCATGTGGACACGCGACAAAATCTAGGGGTCTAGACCCTGCTGTAGATGACTTGGACCAGGGTCTGGAGCTAGGGTCCGTAGCCCCTTTGATAGTGTAACGCTTAGGAGCTCTTATGGGGCTCACTCTTTCTTGCACATTTTCATCAAAGATATATCCTTGTGAGCAAAAGCAAACACCTCCCACTCATCTCCTCCATTGATTCATCATTATAGTGAGATTGGGAGTGATTCAAAGTGCATTTGCTTCAGTGATTGCATATATTGGCACTTGGGGATCGTTAGAGCTGCAGTTTTCTTATTACTCTTGGTGGTTGCCACGACCTAGACAGCTTGGAGTAGCTGTTGGTGATTGGCACGAGTTGGAGCTTGTTCGTGGCCATCCTGTTTATGATGGGTTCTTGACCTTTCGTCGGCGGAGAGCCAAAAGGTACTCTAGTGGATTGCTCGTGTCATATTGAGTTACCCTCACTTTGAGTAGGTTCTTGCGGCATCCTAGTGAAGGGCTTGGCATGGTGACAATTAGCTCGTGATCCACTAAGTGATTGGTCGACACAACGAGGACTAACGTGCTAGCAAGCACGAGAATCTCAGGATAAACATTACTACACAAATCTTTTCTGAGGCAGGCATTGCAACCGCCTCCGTCAAAAGGTCATGGTTAATCATGATGGTTTCTTTGCCCTCGGTTAATTAATTAATAGAAGCGGGCACGGTTAATGGGATTAAACAAGGGGGCGTTTTAAAATGCCCGCCTAAACCTAGAAAACCAAAAAATGTTGTGACTTTAGAGAATCAAACTCATAACCTGGCGCTCAACACTACCACATCTCTACCACTACACACACTCATTCATGTCTATATATAACATGGTATCTTTTAATCTCAATATTTCGTAATCTTATATTGGATATTTTAGCTACTAAATGAAATCAAATGAAAAAACTTTTAACTATAAAGTTTTAAATCTTGTGAAGTACTACAACTTTGGTATAGGATGTATCTCCATCAGAGATAGTTTGAAAAAATCAAAAAAATGAGTCTTATAACATGTGAATTTCAAACACATATTTGAGACTCTAGGTGACTTTAAATAAAAACTTATAAATATCAAACATGTGGATCGGGTCGGGGAAGGCACAAGACCCCTCACAAGTAACCGATCAAGGCCGGAGACAATCACCAACTTCGCTCAACGATCCTCCAAACACCGGGCCATCTAGGTGTTGGCAAACACCAAGAGTAACAAGCTCACAACCAACCCAAAGCTTTCACCTAGTGCCACAAGATGATGCAACTCAATGCAATACACTAGAGGCTCTCCAAACTCACTCAAGATGATGAAATCAAGTGAACAAGTGAGTGGAGTGTGTTGCTCAGCTTCCAAAGGATATGCACAAGTGTAAGAGGTGCCAAGAGAATGTCCAAGGCCAACCACACCGTCTATTTATATCCACACAAGCAAATAGAGCCGTTATACCCCTTGGAGCTATTTTTGTGAGGGCACCAGACACGGCATTGCCTGGCACCGGACAGGGTGGCGGTGCCCTCCAACGGTCGAATTCCAACGGCTACAAACTAGCCTTTGGGGCACCAGACAGGGTGGCGGTGGCACCGCCATAGGGGTGGCGATGACCACCCAGCCGTGCCCCAGAAAACCAAGTCTCTAGAAAAATAGGGCGGTGCACTGCCGCACCTATGGTGGTGACCATGGCGGTGCCCCCTTCGCTTGTGCTGCTCTCGGGGTGAATTAGGGCGGTGACCACCGGACAAGGGCGACGGTGACCATGGCGGTGCACCGCTGTGCACCTGGCGGTATACACCGGACACACCGGTGCCCGCCCTTCAACTTACTGCTCTCGGCCACATCTAGGTGGGCACTGCCCTAGGGGTAGCGATGCCAGCCCCAACACCAGTGTCTCTCGGCCTCGGCTAGTCGATCATCGGATAGGCCAGGGCGGTGCACCGCCACACCCAGGGCGATGACCAACCCGAGGCAAAAACCTTCGTTTGCTGCCTTTTTCATTCTCGATTCGATCCATGCGCAGTCTAACACTCCTTTGCAAGCGTTGCTAACCCTCAGTGTTTTCCCAAAACATGTTAGAGTCAAGTTAGCATTTCTCAAATATTTTCAATAAATATTTTCACTTGCTCTCCATTGTGCACTAGGCCTAAATGCAATGCATGAAGTCCAACACCTAGTGGCACTAGATGACCAAATTGTATAGTTAAGAACCCCTCTTAATAGTACGACCATTTACCCTAAATGTGATCACACTCTCTACAGTGTCTTGATCACCGAAACAAAACCCCTATTTATACCTTTGCCTGGAGCTCCATAGGGTTTTGTTTTTCTCTTTCTTCTTTTCCAAGTAGAGCACTTGATCATCATCACATGTGGTCATCTTCATCATTTTATGTGATCAATATCACCATTTGAGTGCCACCATGCTCCTCAACTTAGATAGCACCTGAAGGGGACCGTGACGCCTAAGAGGGGGAGGGGTGAATTAGGCAACTTAAAAATCTAACTCTAAACTATGGCCTCTTTTTCTACCCTTAGCAAAACCTATGCAAAAGATAAACTATCTAAATGTGCAACTATGGTTTTGCTAGTATGTTGCTATCTCTACCGCAAAATGAGTGATATAAATAATGTAAATGCGGAAGCTAAAGAGCAAGGTAGAGATATGCAAACTCCCATCGACGACTCCGGTATTTTTACCAAGGTATCAAGAAGCGCGCAAGCTTCCCCTAGTCCTCGTTGGAGCCCCTCGCAAGGAATCCCTCGCAAGGGCCAAGCTCCAGGTTGGGTAACTCCGTGGATAGCCTCGGGCCTTCCCCACGCGCAAGTGGGTCTCCGACGTGCCTTCCGGCAAGCCTCTCCCGGATGCTCCCCACCGTCTTCACTATCAAGCTTCCGACCAAAATGCCACCGGTCTTGTTCCCTCCGGTACACGGTGGCGGACACACCACAAACGCAGTTGGTGTGATCTCATAAGACTACAAGCCCCTCCGATGTACAACAATGGTGCGCGCAAGCACCGAGTGGTAAGAGGTATGCAAACCTCACTAAACACTAGGCCTAAACCTAGAGCAAGCGCATAAGCGGTGGTCTAATCAACCTAAGCACTTCGCAAAGCACCTATACTAATCACCTAATGAATCACTAAGCACTATGCAAGTGGAGATCACTAAAATGGTGTATCAACACCCTTGATATGTTTCCTTAGCTCCACACAAATCAAATGGCCGGTTGAGGGTTGTATTTATAAGCCCCACTGAGAAAGTACCCGTTGGGGACGAAATCCTGCTTTTCTACTACTGACCGGACGTTGGAGTCGTCCTGATCGGACGCGTCCGGTCGTCCCGACCGTTGGAACCACGAACAACTGATCGGACGCTGCCAGCGTCCGGTCACCTACCACCGGACATGTCCAGTCGCAGTTTCGCCGCTCTAGAACCTCTCTGTACTCGATCGGACACTGCTGTCCTGCGTCCAGTCGGTTTGCCGCCAGCGTCCGGTCCATCGTCCAGTTGCTTTTCGTTAGCGTCCGGTCGCTGTTGTGAACTCGTTTCTTCGCGATCTTGCGTGCGGCTTGGTTCCTATCTTCATTCTTGGACTTTGCTTGATATCTTGGGTCTTCTCTTGAGCTCCTAAGGTCTTGCTTTTGGTGTTGATCATCGGATCATCACGTCGCCTTTGTCCAAGTCATGTCTTGCATCCTATTGAACTACAAAACAATCACTTGCAAATTCATTAGTCCAATTTGGTTGTGTTGGTCATCAAGCACCAAAATCTAAAGTAAATGGGCCTAGGATCCATTTACCTTACAGCACCAACCTAGCTCATATTACATCTCATGATAAAGGTTAGTGCATATGTTTCATCAATTATCCAAAACCAAACTAGGGCTTTCACTAGTGCCCTGACAAAGCATGCACACATGATATACCTCTGTAAGCATGTCACAGACCTACCAGCACGGGTGCCACCCGTCACCTCTCCCTAGGCCATGCCTCACTGTGGCACCTTGACAAGTCCTCGGCCTGGCCTCCTACAGATACGTGCCACACCACCGTGCCTTAACTCACCCTCAACTATATAGGCAATCTCTAGATCCTTACCATGTAGGCTACCTCGTCTCACCCTTGGCCAGGTCACCTCCTAATCCGCGCCGCTGCAGTTCGCCCTTTGCCAAGCCACCTCCACACCTCACCCTTGGCCGGGCATGAGACGCACCGCCATGGCTCGCCCTCAGCCAAGCCTCCTCTATATCCACAGCACGAAGGAGGCGAAGAGGAGAAGGGAAGGGAAGAGGCGGTGAGTAGAGGGGGGGGGAGAGAGAGAGAGAATGGGGAGGAGACTGCGGGTGAGAGAGGGAGAGGCGGCGTTGGAGAGACGGAGGACATGTGGCGGCTGGTTAGGTGGGAGAGAAATGAGTGGGCAACGGTTGCAACCATTTTATTACTGAGATGCTAAGATGGGACAGGTGAGTTGAGCATTAACAGAGGCGTGCCTTATTTTAAGAGGTCTAGGACTAACCTCTTCAGGGGCCCTCCTCTGTTAACTTATTTTCAAAGACTATAATTTTTTTAGTGTCTTCATAAATGGGTTAACCGTCTCGGAAAATAACGGTGTGTTTTAGGAGACATGGACGTTTTTTATCCATCTCTGTAAATCAAGAGTTGTTTTCTAAAATCATTTTTATAGTAGTGCAAGACGATGGATTGAGATGTTGTCACAAGACTGAGCTATTAAAATTTTCATGTTGGAACCCTTTAATTACTGAACGTTCTTAATTCTTATTATCTCAGTTCTTTTCACAGCTTATCAGTCGCCTGCAATTCATCTGACCCCACAACCCTGCCCCAAAACCAGTGCTCCCTCCACACCTTCCCAATCTGCTCAATGGGCATCCCCTTCGTCTCCGGCAAGAACAAGTACACGAAGCCCGTCATCACGACGATCCACCCCGCAAAGAAGAAGAAGAGCCAGGCCCTCATCCGGCACAGCATGGCGAGGAACCCCTGCGCGATGAAGATGGTGAACACGAACCCGGACGCCACCGTGATGCTCTGCCCCGCCGACCGGATCTCCAGCGGGAACACCTCGGTGGGCACCAGCCACGTCATGGGGCCCCACGACCAGCTGTACCCGGCCACGTAGATGCCGATGAGGACGAACAGCGCCGCCGCGTAGCCACGGGGCATCCCGCCCTCGTCGCCCAGCTTGGCGGCCATGACGGCGCCGATCAGGACCTCGGAGAACTGCATCTGGAGGCTGCCGGCGATGAGCAGCGTGCGGCGGCCGAACCGGTCGATGACGAACATGAACACGACCGTCGACGCCGTGTAGATGACCACCGTGACGACCGTGGAGAGCAGCGCCAGGCTCTCGCCCATGCCCACCGTGCGGAGCAGCACCGGCGCGACGCGTAGAACCCGATGGCGTTGATCCCGTTGAGCTGCGTGAACGCCGGCATCAACACGGCGACCGCTAGCTGCGGCCGGTACCTGCGCCGCGAAAGGATGAGCCGCAGGCCGCCGCTGCTGCCGCCCAGTGCCGCCACGCTGTTCGCCGCGACGATGTCGTCCAGCTCCGCGTCGACGGCGGCGGCGGCGTCCGTGCCTCTGATCTTCGTCAGCAGCGCGCGCACCCTCCCACAGTCCTCACCCTGCTGCACCAGGCTGTTGGGCGTCTCCGGCAGGAAGACGGCTCCCAGCGTGAAGAGCGCGGCGGGGACGCCAGCCAGGCCCAGCGAGAGCCTCCAGCCCCAGCCGCCGGTGATCTTCTCCGCGCCGTAGTTGATGATGTTCGCGGCGAGGGAGCCGAGGCACAGGCTGTGCTGGAACCCGTTGCTGAATGCTCCTCGGTATCGTGCAGGGGCCATTTCAGACAGGTACAAAAGCACTGCCTGCAAAATTTCAGCAGGGCTGGATATTGCAGGATCACCAAATTTCGTCATCAGATTCACGGGAATTTGTAGTCGGCGACTCTGACCTGATTCACTGATTGGCGAACCCGAGGCCCACTCCGAGGAGCGCCCTGCCCAGGATGGCCATGTACACGTTGACGGCGCCGCCGCTGACCACGGCGCCGGCGAGGAACGCCGCCCCGCCGATGATCATGGACGGGCGGCGCCCTCGCCTGGCCGTGAACCACGACGAGAGCAGCATCGCGGTGAGCAGGCCGGCGATGTAGAGCGACGACGTGAAGAGCGTCAGAAGCTGGCTGTCGAACTTGCAGTAGTTGCTGACGTGCACGTCGCCCTTCATCCGCCGGTACACGTCCGGGAAGGACTCCTCGAGGAACGACCCCATGGATGACACGCCACCTGTGCTGTGCAAAACATCTTGTAATCGATCGGCACTTCCAAAACTAAAAGTTGATGATATTACCATTTACCAGTTGTTCATCACGATTTTGAAAGGTGGTTCTCTCAAATTCAACTCAGTAATAATTAACTTGTTTCTGGGACGACATGAATCTGAAATTCTGAGGTCGTATTCGTACCAGAGGTTCCGAGGTCGTAGACGAAGATGGCGCCGCCCATGGCCGCGGTGACACAGGACAGCGCCACGAACTTGGTGATCCTCCCGCCGTACTGATGGCCATCGCCGCCGCCGGGAGATCGACGAGACCGACGGGCATGGTCCGCCACTGCGGCGGTTAGCTTAGCTGAAGGTGAGGTCTTGGTAAGTGAACCTTGGTGGCCTTGCTGTTGGTGTTGTGTTGACCAGCTGTAGCTGCTGCTGTTGCCATCCGGTCAAGCTTCCATGTGATGTGATGTGCCCTTTTGGATATTTGCAAACATGTGCCCGCCGTATGCATCTTGTTTGTTTATGCGTTTTGGTACGAATTTTCCAAGGCGGCTCTTGACTTATTAGTCGCAAGAGTTTACACCATTTAACCATCTTCGCGTCATTGTTGTCCATGTCAAAGATATCTGAAAAGTGAGGAGTTCTTATTGCTCCATACTTAGCGCTTGTTTGGATGTACCAACTAAATTTTAGCTGGCTAAATTTAGCTATAAGTATCCAAACGTCCCAACTAAAAGACCAGCTAAAATTTAGCTAAGTTTAGCTATTTCCACTCAGCTAGCTGAAGCATCCAAACACCCCAGCTAAAATTTAGCTGGCAGAACTTTTAGCTGGCTAAAGTTTAGTCTTACAATTTTAGTTAGCTAAAATTTAGTTAGGTGCATCCAAACAGAACCTTAAATTATCCATAATTCGTTGTTTTCCATGTAGTGTGCGTAATGCGAAGAAGATACTCTCTTCACCTAGACATTGTTGCAACTCTAGATACACAAATATAGCTCTAGATTTATTTTTTCAAGCCAAACACTTTTAGATCTACGCAGATCGACCTTAGAGTAGCTCGAAATCCATGGATTTAGGAGCAGATCTATGAAATTTTATCGAGCACCACAAAGAGCACTCTGAAAACACAAGTTTGAAAGAATTAGAGAAAATTATCTATCCCTGACACTGATTAAACAAAAGTACAGTATGGCGTTCTTTCTTCTTCGCCCATCGCCGACCAGAGCCGTCCATCCCTACCTTCGCCGCGTGCCGCTCTGCCGCCCACGTCTAACCTCCACGTCCGGATGTGGCGCACGCCTGCCACCGTGCCCATGCCAGCGCTCGGCTGCCCCCACCCCGGCCAGCGAGACCCGCCCAACCTCAACTGCCCTCACCCCTACCGCGACCGGCCTCGCCTCCACTATGGCCAGCAAGACCCGTGCCCGCTGCCGCCACCCCCACCGAGACCAGCGTCGCCCCAACCATGGCTGCCCTCAATGTCGCCCAGCTCCCGTCACGCATGGGCCCAACCTCGCCGCTGTCTATGCGCGTCACTCCATCGTCCATGCACGTGACCACGCCGTGTGGATGTTGCCCAGTCTGATGTGCTCTGCTCAGATATGTAGGAAGAGGAGGAAAGAGGGGATGAAGAGCTGACGAGCGGGACCAGGTGGCAGTGAGTTAGAGGGGAGGAAACTCAGAGCTGGAGCTGTACAAGACAGTTTACTGGGAGACCAGCTCCACGGTGGAGCTGCTTCATGGTAGATCTAGTGATCTGAATCTGTTTTTTTTTTTTTTTGAGTTGGAGCTCTCCTAAACATGCCCGTCATTTCATTCAGTAAACTATCAATATAAAGAGCTTCAAATGAACTGTAAAATGTATAGTACTCCAACTGCTAAAGATCTTCCAAATGATCAGGCTTTGAATATTCTTGTATGAGAAACAAATCATGGCTGAATTGAAGCTGAATGCTACGTACATTTCTTTACAGCTTGGCACTTGCCTCATCTTCACGGGCTCCTATAACCTTCTTCCAGAACCAGTGCTCGGTCCACACCTTGTCAATGTGCTCGATGGGCAGCCCCTTTGTCTCCGGCAAGAAGAGGTACACGAACGCCGTCATGGCCACGATCCACCCGGCGAAGAAGAAAAAGAGCCACGCCTTGAGGCGGCAGAGCATGGCGAGGAAGTACTGCGCGACCAAGATGGTGAACACGAAGCCCGACGCCACGGTGATGCTCTGCCCGGCCGACCGGACCTCCAGCGGGAAGATCTCGCTGGGCACCAGCCAGCTCAGCGGGCCCCAGGAGCAGCCGAAGCCCGCGGAGTAGAGGCCGATGAGCAGGAGGAGGGCTAGCGCGTACGCCCTGCTGAGGCCGCCCTCGTCGCCGAGCTTCGCGGCCATGATGGCACCGATGAGGACCTCGCAGACGAGCATCTGCGCGCCGCCGGCCAGGAGCAGCGTCCGCCGTCCGAAGAGGTCGGCCGCGAACAGGGAGATGAACGTCGCGGCGGAGGAGACGACGACCAGGACGATGGTCGAGATGAGGGACGCGCTCTCGCCCATGCCGATGCTGCGCAGCAGCACCGGCGCGTAGAACCCGATGGCGTTGATCCCCGTCAGCTGCGTGAACGACGGTATCAGGATGGCCATGGCCAACTGCGGGCGGTACCGCCGGTTCGTCAGGATCAGTCGCCAGCCGTTGTCGCACTGCTGCGCCATGGCGTTGGCAGCGACGATGTCATCCAACTCTTGGTCGACGGCGTCGGTTCCTCTGATCTTCTGCAGCAACGCCCTCACCTTCCCGTGGTCTCTGCCTTGCTGGACGAGGCTGTTGGGCGTCTCCGGCAGGAAGATGGCGCCGACGGTGAGCAGCGCTGCAGGGACGCCGGCCAGGCCCAACGACAGCCTCCAGCCCCAGCCCCCTGTGATCTTCTCGGCGCCGTAGTTGACGACCGTCGCGAGGAGAGCTCCAAGACAGAGGCTGAACTGGAAGCCGTTGCTGAACATCCCTCGGTAACGTGCCGGGGCCATCTCAGACAGGTACAACGGCACAGCCTGCAAAATGTTAAAAGAATTATTTTTCCATGTCGATTTGTCATGTTACCGCCTGGAAAATGTTGCTGCGCAATTTTTTGTTTTTTATGACATTCTAAGAACAAATTCATATGGATAGACATATCATATACCTGGTTGGCGAAGCCCAGGCCAACGCCGAGCAGCGCCCTGCCGAGGATGGCCATGAACACGTTCACGGCGCCGCCGCTGACCGCGGCGCCCGCGAGGTACGCGACGCCGCCGAAGACCATGGACGGGCGGCGCCCGCACCGCGCGGTGAGCCACGATGCGAGGAGCACCGCAGTGAGGAGGCCGGTGATGTAGAGCGACGACGTGAAGAGCGTCAGCAGCTGGCTGTCGAACTTGCAGTAGTTGCTGACGCCCGCGGCGCGCTTCATCCGACGGTACACGTCGGGGAAGAACTCCCGCAGGAACGCGTCCATGGACGACACGCCGCCCGCCGTGCTGATGTCGTAGCCGAAGATGGCGCCGCCCATGGCCGCCGTGACGCACGACAACGCCACGAACGCGGTGACCCTGCCGTCGTACTGCCGTGCGTCCTCCCCGCCTTCGGGGCTGACGACGGCGAAACCGACGGCCATGGTCGGGCAGGGTCACGGAGCTAGCTAGTGTGAAGTTGTGAACTCGATCAGCAGTTCAGCACATGGTGAGCGCGCACTGTGCGACTGTCCTCTCGTGCTGACTTGCTGCTCTTATCGGTGCAAGATGCTTGCTGCGCGGTCAAGCTTGACGTGCTGGCACTTGCTGGGTGATTTGTTCGCGAGCGCGCAGCAATGCAAATCTTCCACGGAGATAGGTAGCTTACTGACAGGGATTTTTAAATAATTGCTACCGAGAGGGAGGACACCTCATGTTGTAAGTTTGTTATAAGTTTGAAAACTCTACTTCCTCCTAATGAAATACGTACCACATGATACGGTCGAAAAAAAGAGAGGGAGACCACCCCTTCGATTACTAGCTTTAGATGGGTAAATACAAAATTGCCACCGAAAATAGTAACGCCCCTACGTTCTTGTCATTTTTACTTACGTGGCACGCCACTTCACCCGCAAGCGTGGAACTTGGCCTGGCCCTGACACACAGGCACGCACAAATACTCTCTTCCCCGCCGTCGAGGCCCACTCCTTGAATCCTCCGCGGCCTCACCGCCCACGCCTACTCCGGTGACATAGCCCTTCCATGCGCAGAGCCGGCCTCAGTGACCATGATCCTCATCATAGGCTCCACAGGCTACATTGACTGCTACCACGTCCAAGAGCTCCTCCACCGGGGCCACCGCGTGCTCACCATGGGCTCGTCCTGGAGCAGCATCCACGGCCGCAACTCCCCCGACGACGTCATCGCGGACCTTGCCCCCGCCCGTGTCGTCTTCTCTGATGTCACCAACCCGGCCGCGCTGCTCGCGGACCTAGCCCCACACGGGCCCATCCACACCACAGTTCGCTACCTCGCCAGCTATGGCAACACCGTGTAGGACTCATGGTGCGTCGAGTATCGTGCCACGCTCCAGGCCGCGCGTGGGCTTAGGGCCGCCCACTTTATGCTCCTCTCCGCCGTCTGCATCCAGAAGTCGAGTCGCTCCTCGAGTTCCAGCGCGCCAAGCTCAAGTTCAAGGAGGAGCTAACCGCGGAGGCCATGCAGGACCCCGCGTTCACCTACAGCGCCATGCGCCTGTAACACCCTGTGTTTTGCATCATAATAAAAAAACACTAAAAATTTAAACTTTTTAAAATTTACAACAAATTAAAACCTTAATTATTTATTTTCTGCAAAAATTATTTGAAGATATGTCTCCACAAACCCTTTTAAAAATCTTTACCAAAAAGTCTTGCATCCAAACACATCATGTGCATTTATGTTTGAAATGTTTGAATGTTTGAAATGCTTGTTTGATTGATTATATGTTTGTGTGCCCTAGAATTTATTATTGGCGCAAAGTACTCCTCCTTGACTTTCTCTCCAAAACTCCTTGATCATTTCCCTTGAATATCTCCACGAAAACCATCCTTGATTTATCCCAAACCATTTAGCATCAAATCATCTTAAAATTCAAACTTGAATCCAACCCAAATAAGGCCTAGTTTAATTCTGGGAAAAAATGTAAATTGAATCATAAAAGGAAAATGGTCAGCGGGCTCAATTCCTCTCTCCCTTCCTCCTGGCCCGTGAAGCGGCCCGCCTCCTGCCTCTTCTCTTGCCCTTTTCCCGGCATGGGCCAGCGCCGGGCCTTCGGCCCAACGAGGCCAGGCGCACCGGCGTCTCCCCTCCTTTCTGGCGCAGCGGCCCACTCCTCTTCCCTTCCCCGCCTGGGCCGGCATCGGCCACTCAGGCCCAGCAGGAGCGCCCGCCTCCCTTTCTCTATTCTCATAGACAGCGCGGCCCCGGCTGTCAACCGACCTTCCCCCACAGACGTGCGGGACCCAGCTGTCAGCTTCGTCTTCCCAGGCGGCAGCGACGGAAATCAAGCGTCGTTACGCGCCGCCTCGAGCCCGCCACCATCTCGTCCCGACGCTGGAGAAGATAAGGGTGCAGGAGCCACCTGTCCTCCCATCAGAACCTTCGCGACACCCCGCTGCCACCACATCCGAGCACGTGAAGCACGACCGCCGAGATATTTTGCCGCCACGGCCTTCCTCTGACATGGCTGCCCAAAATATCTCCACTGCCACCGCCTCATCTCGGCTATAAATAGCCGGCCGGTGGACTCGCCGTGGCCTGAAGAGCTCGGTCCTTTTCCTTCCTCTTCCGGCCACTCGAGCTCGCCGGGGCCGGGCGCGCCGAGTTCTGGAGCCCGACGCCGCCGGTGACAAGGCTACGCCCGCCCTGCCTCCCGGGCGACTCCGCGCTAAGGCCGAGCGCCACGACGCTGCCGCTCTGCTCTCCCTGCCCCCGCCGCCGCTCTGCTCTCTCCTTCTCTCTCCATCTCTCTCTCTCTCTCTCTCTCTCTCTCTCTCTCTCTCTCTCTCTCTCTCTGGTCTGTCTCTCCATCTCTGATTGCTCTGCTCCGCCTCGCCCTACCGCTCTCCCTCTCCCGCCCCCTCTCTCTCCCTCTCCCTCACTCTCGTTCCGTCAGCCTTCTCCCGAATGGATGAGGAGTTGAGGACGGCCGCGGCATCCGAAGTCGATTACCCGGCCACGTCGCTTTGGCCAATGGAGAGGCACCACGTCACCGTTCGGGCCCCACACGGCAGCCAAAGCAAACCCACCTCCACTCTCCCCCATTTTACATGGACACGGTTCACATAGACCAATGGAAGAGAGAACGGGTGCACGGCATAGTGTGGACCAGGTTCACGCAATAGTGCCAGGCCAGGCCCGCATCCGACTGGGGACCACAAGTCAGCCCCTGTGATGGAAAAAAATGCTAGGTACAACCTGAGAGTGTACACAGAGAGGGTAAAATCCATTTTCCCTACATAGAAAAATTCCCAGAAAATTCCTAAATAAACTAGGTGCACCCCAGAACCTACCCAAGACTTTCCAAATCATTTTCATTACCGTAATTTCTAGAAATAATTTCCAAAATATATTCCAAATACTTTCTCCTATTAAATCTTTGATAAATCATATCTCTTCCACCCTAAATCCAAATCCCATGATTCTTCCACCAAAAATCCTCTAAAATCAAGCCCTATCTATTCATATCCTTTGCTCTATCATTTGGTGCCCATTTAAATTCTAGTTGTTTGTTTTCCGTTTCATTTATATTAACAATAACCCATATTTACACCCATCCACTAACGCCTGTTAGCACCATATATTCGCGTATATGCATACACTTTAACACATACGTAAATACTCGAATATACACACACATAGCATAATAGGCCCCGTTCGCTTGTCTGAAAAAAGAAGCAAAAACACTGTAGCGGCTGGTTGTGTGAGAGAGAAATATTGTAGCGGCTGAAAGATGCACTGTAGCAATGTGAGGAGAAGCAGCCGGACCAGCCGGCTGGTCTGAAATTTTTGGACCAGCCGAACGCGGCCATAGATAGCACTCATGCATAGGCATGCTATACGTACTAAGCGTCATGCCTATGTATTACTAACCTCAAACCCAGCTTTTCATCTTAATTAAACCAAGGCATATACTTATGGATATATGTATGTGTCGCTAACCTTAGCTACCACCCACGTTAACCTAAGCTTGCTTAGCCTACCCCCCCTCTGTATGTGTATATGAATGCATATACACGTACCTAACCACTTAACCCCACCTTCATGTATATGAATACATATACATGAACCCGTCTAAATAACCCCGCTAAACCCCGGTGGATTTGTAGGAGTCAGACATGTCGTTATGATGACCTGGTCAGGCTTTCTCTTTCAGGTTCACACAATAGTGAAACTTAATAATGTGGTCCGGTTTTCCATTAGATAACCACACCACTCTAACCTAACCAGTAAAAGCAACACCTTGTTGGCTGGGAGAGGAGGGGAGGGGGCGGCATCGCCGGGAGAGAGGGAGGGGGCATCGAGAGCGAGGGAGGGGGCCTGGCGAGGGGGGGGGCGGGAGAGGAGAGGAGGGGCGCCAGATCGGGGAGAGAGGGGGGGGGCGCCGGGAGCGAGGGAGGGGGCGCCATGAGGCAAGGAGAGGAGGAGGAGGAGGAGGAGGCCAATGAGGGCCGGGCTGGCCATGGGAGGGCAGGGAGAGGGAGCTGGGAGGGGAGGGAGGGAGGGGCGCGCGGTGTGCGGGGGGAGGGAGGGGGCGGTGTGCGGGAGGAGGCAATGTGGGAAAGGAGGAGGGCGGCAAGGTTTTATTTCCAGAAAAAAATATTTCTTTGCCGAATGTTATAGATCTGAGCACTCGGCAAAGTTTTTTCATTTTTTTCTTCTCTTTCTTTTCCAGAAAAAGATTTTATTTCTTTGTCGACTATTCTAGATCTGAGCACTCGGCAAAGTTTTTTTTTAATTTTTTTCTTCTCTTTCTTTTCTAGAATTTTTTATTTATTTATTTACAGAGTGTTCTAGATCTGAGCACTCGGCAAAGTTTTTTTTATTTTTTTCTTCTCCTTCTTTTCTAGAAAAAAGATTTTATTTCTTTGCCGAGTGTTTTTTTACACTCGGCAAACCCTCTCTTTGCCGAGTGTTTTTTTGACACTCGGCAAACCCTCTCTTTGCCGAGTGTTTTTAGCGCAGCACTCGGCAAAGAACTTAGTCGTCGACTGTCCGAGAGAATACACCCGGCAAACATAAAAACACTCGGCAAATTTGAGGATTCCAGTAGTGGATGGACGATGATGGGTTTTGGCGAATACAAATTTATCACAATTGCATCTAGACCCTTTTTCATGCTAGAGTGTGCATGTGTTTGCAAATGCTAAACTTTACCTCTAGTTAGTCTTTAAGTAAATGTTTAGTAGTTTGCAAACTTTGTGAGAAATAGAATAGAAGTTTTTCAAAACCCTTACTAGCATGATAGAATTTGTGGTGTTTTGAAAAATATTCGGTTTTTGGTCTTTGTGACCTTGTGATGTCATTTGTTATTATAACTCCCATTGATTGATTGGCTAATCACATTTGTCATGACCGTCTCGAGTCCATAAGTTACTATGCCTCTCTAGATTATATGCACTTC